TGGCAGGTCTGAACAGAGCCAAGGCGACACTTGGATGGTCACAGTGCTGGCACACCCATCTCTGTCACCGGTGCAAGCTCAAAGGAGGCCATTACTACATGCTACAGCTAGTTTCATACAAGATAATGAGGTCATTTTATTTTTCCTTCTCAAACTTTGCCAACAACAAAGGAAAGAAATTCATATCGGTCTGTGAGAATTAAATGCATGCATTCTCCCGACTTGGACTGAGACCTGTGCGCCACTGTCACCTGGGCACATCTGAACAGCCTCCCCAGGGTGATTTTCTTATGGAGAAAACAGTTTGGCTTGAAGAGCAGGACCAGTCCCTCCTTTGCAAAATATTTTCAAGACAAAAGATGAATGGTGAATACTGTGATTCTGAGATAGAATCACAAAATGGTTTAAGTTGGAAGGGACCTGAAAGATCATCTAATTCCAACCCTCTGCCATGGGCAGGGACACCTCCCACCAGACCAGGCTGCCCCAAGCCCCATCCAGCCTGGCCTTGAACACCTCCAGGGATGGGGCATCCACAGCTCCTCTGGGCAGCCTGTGCCAGGGCCTCACCACCCTCACAGTGGAGAATTTCCTCTTCATATCCAATCTAAACCTACCTTTTGCAGTTTATAATTGTTTCCCCAAGTTTTGCATTGTTCTCTGAGAAACTGAAGTGGAAAGAGTGGGGACTAGGAAAGACAATAACCTCTCCAGATCACAGGATGGATCTTGAGGAATAAAGAGCTGAAATTTTAGGAAATGCATTTATTTATTTATTTATTTATTTATTTATTTTAAACTGTGTTTTTACTAGCCACACATGGAAATCCAGGCTGGATTTTAAGAAACACATTATGAGAAAAGGAAATAAGGAAATAGACTACCCCTCAGTGTCTGTAAAAATTTCATCTATGAACACAGGTGCAGAATAGTGATTAAGAAAATATCACTGTTGTAAATTATCACTCAGTTGCATTTATTTGCCAGTGTCTGGACTAAGCAAAATGCAGTTTTTCTAGAAAGACACTGGCTTCCAAACCCTCTTTTCTAAGAAAAAAAAAAATCACTCTAAGTGTAGTAGCCTAAAAAAAATCCTAAGTAGGACCTAGTGCATTTTACCAACATAAAAAACAACCATCAAAACACTCCTACCTGTTCTCCCAATCGAAGCTTACACTTGGTTAGGGTTTCTGTCTGTACGCTGAAAGGAAACCTGGTTTCTGTAAATTTCTTTTTAATAAAAATGTGTTACCTATGATAAATATATATTGCCTGGGTCAAATGAATCTGATTGTGAGAACATATTGAGCAAAAGTATTGGTAGGATTTAATTTCATCTCTTTTAAACACACACACATACACACACACACACACAACTGTAGCTATTGAATGCTGGTTTGAATTAAATTCTATTTGTTTTAATAAAAGTGTAGTGGCCTGAGTGTACATATATTTGTTTTAGTGGCAGTGCATTGGATCCAATAAAACTATATTGGCTTCACTGCTTATGTCTCCTTTTCAGAGAAAATGGATTGAACGGAAAAATGAACCAGGCATGAATCAGCCAGTCACAGGTCTGTGCTAAACTCTGGCATCCGAATACACTGGTTAAAGAACAAAAAAAAAAACTTTATTACAAAACGTTGCTTTTAAATGTAAATATGTTTTAATGTCAAGGCTGCACACGAGGGGTTTAATTGCCTCTATAAAAGAGAGCAGGTTTCAGAACCGGGCTTGGCTGCGGAGGGTCGGTGCATCTGCTTGCAGCTGCAGAAGTGGAAACCTAAGCTGGCTGCAGCCCTCAGTTCTGCTGGCATAAATCAGGCTTGTTCTCAATAAAGGCAGGCAGCTGATCTCCAGATATCTGTGATAATGCAGATCGGGTGTCAGCAGCCCCAGCACGGGGGCACCTCTGCCCCAAAGCATAGGCGCATGCAATGCCGGGGTAAATCACGTCCGCGCCGGGAGCTGGATGCTGGCACTGGCATTCCTGGGGCTGCGCCGGCTGCCGCTGAGCTTTTCTATGCATTCTCCTGGGATCAGTCATTTCTGCCACCTGGAGACACTCAGCTGCTTGATTCTGCACCAGGTCTCCCCGACACCCACCCTTTCTGTGTTACCTGCACACGTTCCTGTGGGCAGGAGAGCCACCCAGGCCAGCAGAGGGGCTGGTGTGGAGACTGAGAACCCAATGCCTGTGTTGCATGCATGCATCTGTTTGCAAAATCTTTTTCATCGCCATGTCAAAGCCTTTAAAAATGTCACCAAGTGCCCTTTCTCAATACTCTAAATTGGATTAAAGATGGAAACTATATTCCTATCCCTTTCTAGCCTTCTCCAGGTGGCCGGACGGTGACCGTCACAGCCAGGGCAACAGGGGACAAAGCTCCATGCAAGGCCACTGAGGTTAGGAAGGACAGCAAGCACAGCAAGCACCAGCTGGGTATTTGCTAACGGGGGAAATGGTTGCTGCTGGCTGGTCTGGCTTCTCACATACCCTACGTGGCTGTAACCTGACAACCCAACCGGAGTATCGCTTCGTCTGATGCCTTGTGGCCTTCTAGGAGACTGGACTCCACTCGTGTGGAGCCAAACCTGCATTTTATTCCTTTGTGAGAAAATATGATCTCATTCACAGTTTGGGAGCGCCCGGGGCTGTGGGAGACAATCAACACGAGGAGAATTTGGCTGCAGCAGGAGTGGAGCAGTGAGAGAGGAGATGGCTGCGGTCTTCTCCAGCTCTGACTCCTCAGAAAATTGTGAATTAAGAAATAATTCACACAAAAGCAAACCAGCTGCTAGTGAAGCAATTTTTAGGTAACAATCCAGCTGAGGAGGGTTGAGTATTGCAAGGAGCATCACCTTCAGAGCCCCCATGGCCTTGTGGAAGTGCAGTAGTAGTTTCAGGCACTATATCAGCTCATAAACCCCAAAAACAAGCTGTTTCTGGAGCCAAGGATAGCCAAACTGGTTTTGTGATAGCCATGAGGGCTTCACCACCACGCACTATGGTGGTGAAGGTGGCAGACTTCATGAAGCATCTTAGAGAGTGCTATGGAAGATCTGAGGGTGACGGTAATTAAGAAGGCAGCAGACCCCATGGTGATGTCCTGTGAGATGCTCCCTGCACGGGGCCATGCAGAGATACAGGTTCTTTGTGAGGATCTGAGACAGAAGTACAGGAAAGAGAAGCCTGGAATTTCTTAATGACTTGGTAAATTCTGCAGGGGGGGAGCCTACCTGGAAAAGAGAAGCTCTAGCAAAATCAAAACAGGATCAAGTAGTTGGTACTCTGTGAAAAGGGTTAAAGGAGAATTTTTAACTACAGCCTGGCTTAAATCTATGTGCAGAAGAGTACACAGTCTGAGATAACACCACATCCAGAGGTGACAACATAAATTCTGTATCAGAAAGGGATTAGATAAATTAAGGGAGGACAAGTCCTGCCAGGGCCATTAAATTCTATGGTCCAGTTCCTCCCGGCTGCTGGAGCTGGAGGTGTAAGCGGGGGATTTGCCAGAGGCATCATGTCACGTGGCAGAGATGGGTCTTCGTGGCCTCCTTCTTGATTCATGGCCCCTGCAGCAGACAGCGTGATGGAGGTGGTGATGGAGAGGTCTTTAAACTGCCTGTCCACAGCAAGGTCACCCACCGGAGCCTGTGTCCCCCACAGCCCACCTCTGCCCCTTCTCTGGGGGTGGGAGCAGGGCAGCTATCCAAGCTGTTATCCCCTGCCCAGGCATGTGGGAGATGCCTTGTTTGAGTCCTAAATACGTTTCACTTAAGCCCCACTGATGGCGTAATGAAGTGCTGTAATCTTCGCTAGGTCTCTCTTTACCTTTCTGTAATTACCATAATAAGTGGTCTTAACTGGCTCTTTTATAAGTAGCAGGAGCATAAAAACATCTCAGCATGTTTTCCTTTAATGAGCCACAACTTCAGAGTAATTTTCCTGATGTTTTCTTCGGGGTCTGTTTTTTCTGCCTGATGCAGCATCATTCCCACCTTATCCCCAGCACTGTGCCACTGGCCATGGGATATGATAATGGTGACGCCGAGCAGTGCCAGCACCTGGCAACATTTCTGGGAAGCCCTGCAGAACAAGGTGACTCCACCATGGGTTTCATGACCAGCTGAACTCCCGGAGAGGTCAGTCACTGCCGTGGGCTGTGGGGTCGCACCACCAGCTGCTGTGGATGTTGAGGGGAATACATTACAAGCATCACACCGCCTGCCCATGTAAGGCCACCGCGGGGAAAGGCGATGACAATAGGGGCTCATACCCAAATGCTGAGGCAGAAGTTCAGTGACAGGGCTGGTAACTGATACGAATGACTGCAGGCGAGACCCCGGCACGGAGATCTGAGGGACAGCTGCGAAGGGCTGGGAGCACTCATGCACAACCCACCCACTCCCACCCAGCCACCAGCAGGGTGCTGAGGAGCAGCTCTGTCCCTGGCCACCCCGGCATGTGGGCATAGTGCCCAGCCCAAAAAAGCCTCAGTCGATTACACCACCGTAACATCGTGTCGGCGGGCTCACAGTTTGACTGCTTACAGCAGATGGATGAACACTTGCCGGTTATCTGGTGCTGAGCGAGAGGCAGATTTACTTCCAGAGCTTGCTACTCTCATTTCTCCCAATGAAGCAGCAAGGCAGTACATCTGCAGTTTTGTTTTGTTTTCTTCCTTCCAAACATGGCTATGTTGCAGCGACGTCCATCACTGAAAGGGATGGGGTTTTTGGCTTGTTTTTGTGGGGAAGGCAGGAGGAAAGGAGGGAGGCAGGAGCTTCTGCTTTGTACAAACAAGCATGGTCTGAATTTCCAAACCTCAGCCACAGCCTGTGCGAGCTGAAAGCTGGCTCACCAGCAAAGAGATGCAGAGCTGTAAAGCAGGGTGAAAAGCCCTGAATAGCTGTGTTTGGGTGATGCTAACGTGCACTCTGTAAATAAAGGAAAGCATGAATTGCCACCTTGGTGCTGGGCAAGGGTCCACCCACCTCCATCCCCTCCCCTGTTCTTTGGGGGAATTGAGAGAAACCCCTGAGGAGACAGCCGTGCTGCTCCCGTGACTTAAAAATCAGAAAGCAATGCATGTGTTGCAGAAGAAGCTGTGCTGGCCACAGAAGAAGTATTGCACATTTTCTGCCAGCATTTCTCCAGCAAGACATCAGACCTTTACAGAAGGAGCTGAAAGAAGGCTCACCCACTGCAGTCTCACTCAGGCTCCCTCATCTCTCAACAAGATCCATGCGGTAGGAAATTTGGAAAAGAGGTACAATTTACAAAGGTCCATGAAAGACACAGACACCACCAGTAAGGGCTGTCTCCCTTTAAAAAAAAAATTGCTATAACATTTTATACTTTACCCAGCTTTTGTTTTTGGTGGTTGGTTGGTGGGTGGTTGGTTGTTCTTAAAGGCTGGGAAATAGTTATTGAAAATTGGTCCAGAACACAGCCACTGACTTTTATCTCCTTGATCCTTAAATCTGGCCATGAAGGGTTACTGGTACCTCCTAGTGGGACCATATTATCAGTAGAGAGAATACAATAAAAAAGGTACAAATTTTCTAAATGGTTTTCTCTGCCCATTTTTGATGCGATCCAGCTTTAGAATAAAAAAAGTTTGGAGCAGGTGAAGATACCACGCATTCTTTTTCCTTAAAACTAGAACACAAGGGAAACACAAGGGAGGTGGAAAAAAATCAGGAGCAATGCTTATTGCAAGAAAATCTGTTTATGCATGATTTGAAATTGGAGCAGAGTTTCACTTCATTCTGTCTTGTGTTTTTGTGTTTCATATTTCATGCTTTGTGTAGCACTTGTTCAGTGTATTCCTTGAGGCTGTAACAGGTTGTCCCAAAAGTTTATGGACTCGCTGAGCATACGCTATCACAGAGCATGTCAAAGTGATAGGATCAATGAATTCAATTCTTTTTACGAAAACCAAAATGTTTTAGTATTTTAAAGACCTAAGCTCTCTTCCTGACATCATAAAATGAAATGGTAAGTTATCGGTTTGGAGTGTCTCAACAGCTTCGAAGAAAATAAAACAATTTTGCATGGAATTTCCTTCCCCATAGCTTAAAGGTACACAAGTGGAAGAAATCCATTCTCCTCCTGAGGTCAGGGGAAATAAAAAATGAATGGTGCTATTTTTTCCCCGAAATTCCCTTTTCAGCCAATTCTAATTTTAGTTGGTTTCAAGGGCATTTAGTCGGTTTCAAGTCCTGCCTGGTCAGTTTGTGCTTTGCCTTTGTTGCATGCTGACCGGGACTGGTGACACTGAGAATGTTTTAAGTACCTGATAAAACTATCACAACTGCTGGGGCCAGCTGAGACCCTCACCCCCCTCTGTGAGGGTTTCCTCTGGGCCTTGGCAGCTGGGCATCAGCTGGGTTGGCCAAGCCCTAATTGGATTTCAGGCTCCCCCAGCTCCCCACTCCCCCTGTTTGGGGATGCTTTTGCCCCCCTGCACCCAGGACACTGCACCAGTGCCTGGCACACCTCATGGGTTTCCTATCTCCTTTGTAAATCTGCAACTAAACTGCACAACGGAGGGGTCCCTTAAAAATCCTGAGAGAGAGGCTCTGAAGCAGCCATCTGATTTCTAGGCTTGGTGCTAATTAAAAGATGCTCATGGGGGACACACACACAGATGTGCTAAAGGATCAGGCTGGCAGTGCAGCGCTAAATTTCCATTCCTATCACTGCCCTCATCCTGTCCCCGTGCTTGATGCCCCACAAGAGGCAAAGACATAGCTCACTTTCCCCCCAGTCTGGGAAGCATTTCAGCAAGCGGGCAGTGCTGCTGCTTGATGGCATCCTTAAACCTGCCTTATAGACCCATCTGATAATTAACTCTTTTTTTTTTTTTCTTTTTTTTTTTCTTCTTTTTTTTTCCTGGTGTTTGGATTCTAGATGGAGTGGCAAGGAGGAGGACCTGGATGTGATGTTCCTTCCTCAGTTGCTCCTTGCCTGCTGCAATTGCTGGGGTGTGTAGGCCTGCCCCATAAATGAGTCCTCTAACTCACCCATATTCACAGCACAGGCAGAGCTTTACTTGTCCCAAAAAACTGTCAAGGCAGCAGCAGGTTGTGGCATTCCCGCTTCAGGGATTTCTCAAAGGGAAAGCCTTTGAGAGCTGTCTGTTCTCACTCTGATGCTCATTTGCTTCTCTCTTTTTATTCTCGTGGTTCCTCCAAGGAAGCCAACATTTCCACAGTCCATTTTTTAGCAAAGCTGCTCTCATGCATTTTTCAGCAGCACTTCTCATGCATGGCATGTCACTCCTGAATTATCCACAGGGCCTTGGTTCCTTCCTGTCCCTCCTCAGCTTTTAGCATGAAGGCTTGCTCTGCCAGCGGTACAGAAAAGGGGCAATTGGGATTTCTGAAATTTATTTTAAGCAACAACTCTACCTTGCACTTTTTTTTCCCTCTGGGTCTCTCTGCCTTCTATCTGCTGGATGTGTTTCTGGTCCATGTGCTTTTCTGAACAGCAGCTATGCCATTTTACACATGCAGAGAAGGACTCCAGGTAATTCAGCCCCACCTCCCAGCTCTCCCTCCCAGCTCAAGTCTCCTCCAGAAAGCACTGCCAAGGGCTGAGAAACCACCCTGGTTCAAACTCAAACCCAAAACACGATGCCCCCCATACACCTGCACCTCATTCGTGGGGAGGTGAATTAAAATGATAACTAGGCTTCCCAAGTCTTGCCTGATTTTTACCAGATTACACAGTAAAACTGTTATAAAGATGCTATCTGAGGTGGTCATTCCTTGACCACCACTCTTTAGGTAAAGCCTTACTGTAACTGAGGAGCACCACTCTGAAATCCCATCCTCGGCTCAGATTTTAATGATTTGACACTTAAGATTGTCCTTTTATAACTCCTTAAAGAAGAAAGAGCCATAAGCAGCAGTGTGAATGGCAGCAAATACTCATGGAGAGCTGGTGCCCTGCCTAGGACGTGGCTGGCTGATGCTGACTTGTCCTTGATCTATTTTTTCTCGTCTTTCACTTTCAGGGACTGCAGCAGGGACTACATTAAGTGGAGCTGTGTTGCTGGCAGTTTGGAAAAGGCTTCCCTTTGCCCAGGCTTCCCATCTCTTGTCTGTTTGCTCTCCGCAGACATTCGAAGGATGGAGTCTGGCTTGCATGAGTGCCTGTGGAAAACCCATTTGAAGTTTGCACGCTTGAATACTGCCATATAGCAGAAGTGCTGGGCTGAGATGACAAAGCTCTACCAGAGTCTCAAGCTTCAACCTGCCTAATGAGGGACAAAATCTTTCATCCACCACTGCTGCCACCATTTCTCTTCATTGTGTGCTCTGCAATTAGTACATTTAACAGGGACACTGCTGAACGCAGCACAGTCCCAGTTCCTCAGGACATTTTCCTGGAGCACAGGCACCCTGGCAGTTGGATGTGGGTCTGATTGTACCATTGGCAGACCAGCCCATGGCTGCAGGTGCTGCTATTTCAAGTGAAGGTAATAAAAAGAAGATTGCATTTCAGCCCTGCTCATACACAGCTCACAGTACAACCACTTTTCCGGGGCTGAAGCTTTGAGCAAACATCCTCCAGTAGAATAAAGCCTGTCAAAAGCAGCCCAAAGTGCTTTTCCCAATGACAAAATTTGCACTGATGCAGATGGAGGAAAAACCCAATCCTGTGTGATGTCGCTTGTGATGAACTCAGCCCTTTTCTGAACAGACAGGTTGAAATACTTGTAACAGACCCTTCACAGTCCATCTAACCTGTTAGAAAAGGAGAAAGATAATAAATTGGACAACTAAATTTGAATTACAAATAAATTAGAGGAAGCCACAATCAAGGTACTGACATCCAGTAAGTGGGGGGGGGGGGGGGGGGGGGGGAAGAAGAAAAAAAAAAAAAGCTTTTGTGTGGGTAAATTATCTACTAAGAATTATTTACTTGGCTCTGCAAGCTCTCCGAACAGGGCAGACAGAAGCAGGTACTTTGTTTGCTGGTTCAGGCTTCTGGTCCTGAGAATCAATCTCTGACCATTAAGAAAACACGGCTGCCTTTTCAAGTGTAATTTATTCAATAAGATGCTTTTTTTTTTTGTTCCATGATGCTGCAGAGATTCTTGATTTTCATTTGTCTTTGTCTGGAGATGTGAAATAAGTTTGCCATATTGTCCATTTCATGCTAATTTCTCAATATATTCATATATGCATTTTGGGCATGGGATTTGTGAAGGACTCTGCTGACTCTCAGACACTGCTGTTAAAAATGGAGATAAACCTGCTGAAGCTAATTTGACTCTATTTCTGTACAGCATGCAATATTAAAACTAATTGCACATGAGAGCAGCTGTTTTGGTTTGGGGTTTTTTGTTCGTTTGTTTGTTTGCTTTTTTTTTTTTTTGTGGTTTGTTTGTGTTTTGGTGTTATTGTTTTGTTTTGTTTTTTCTTGAGTATTTTACATTTGTGAAGAGAAGTGGTGCTGGGGTGGAGAGTGGGAAGCCCTGGCTCCTTCTCCGTGATGTGCTGCCTGCACCAGGTACCTCAGTCACTGATCTGCTCAAGGTGCTGGAAGAGGTTTTGAGTCAATGAGACCTTGTACCTCTCAGGGGCTCATTTCAGATGTGCAGGTGAAGAGTTGGTGCCCCCAGAGTTTGGGGGCAGCTCCATCCAGTCCCTTCCTGAAGGCAGAAATGATATTTCAAGGCAAGTCCTTCACTCCAGGAGGTGGTTGTGGGGGTGTGAGGCAGGGCACGCAGACCATGGCTGGATTTACACCACCAGAAATGTGCTCCCTGGGACACAGGTGCAGGCAGAGCAGCGTTTTGTACCTCCTGCATCTTCATCTTCTGACTGTATACACGCTTCAGGCTACCGCTGGGTTATTTTTAGGTCACTTCAGGAATATATATTTCTGCAAGAGCTATTTCTGGGCGCGCTGCCAAACTGGGAACTGTAGCCATCTATACATCCCCCACAAGGATATATGGAAAACAGCCACTGCCAGCCTCTTCCTCACAGCCCCACAGAGAGGGGACATCAGTCTGCAGGAAAAAGGAGTGCAGAAGAAATGCCCCATTGTGCAATGAAGGTGGAGGCAGGCCCTGAGGAGAGGCGTGGAGGAGTCTGTGTGCAGAGGCAAGGGAAGGGGACCATTCTGCAGGGTGCAGAGCGCTTTGTGCAGCCATGGGGCTCTCTGAGAGCCTTCAAGCACATCCTGCTGTCCGTGGAAAGAGACAGAAAAAGCCTGGGGCTGTGGGGAGCTGCCTGCTTGACAACCGGGCCCTGCTACGACTGCTGAACTCCAGAGGCTGCCTTGCAGGGTTTGCAAATTCCTCAGGAGAGAAATGTTGGCCTGGGTGTGGAGTCCTGGAATTTCTGCTGGGAGCATCTTTTCTGTTGTCAAAAAAGTGTTGTGAACCGGCAAGGAAATCACAGTTTCTCTGGGTTTGGATGTGTTTGCAAGGGTTTGATGCAGCTGGGATATACCGTGTGTGTACTGAGCCCAAGTACCACAGAGGCAGAGTAGAAGAGCAGCCCTGAGCACAGAAACCAACCCAGCCTCTAGTTGTTGCTGTGCATTTTTGCCGGGCTTGAACTGTTCAGCACTCAGTGTAATAGGGCACAGTGCTTTGAAACGTGGCCAAAGCTGCAAAACACAGTTAATTCTCTCTCTTAATCACTGGCAAAGCTTTAAAGCTAACAGAAAGTAACCGAACCCCTTTGGACAGCACTACCTTCTCCTGGTTTGGGTGTCAGGATTTTGTTGTATGCATCTTAATCATGTCCACAAGCCATGATGCTGTCAGCATTATGGGGAGAATTTTTTACTACAAAACTGCCTTTTTTTTTTCCCATACCACAAATGTATGGATCAGCTAAATTCTGCTGTACATAGGGGACCAATTTTCCACAAAAGAAGTCAGTAGAGGAAAAGAATTTAAATGCTAAATTAACCCCCCAAAGAAAGCAATGTTTTAGCCCAGTGCCTCCTCCACGTCCAGAACAAATTTTGCTAAGAGAGAGTTTCATAAGGAATCTGTGTCGAAGTAGATCTATTATCTGATAGATAAGTAATGGGCTTCATCAGTCATTTTTATCCGCAGGAAGGGGGCAGAGGAGGGAAGAGGGAAGCGAGCCTGGTGGAAGGCTGTCCGTCGGAAGCATTACCAGACAGCGGGATTGCGTGTCTGCACGCAGACTTGAAAAGACACAGATCATCAGATACCAGCGCATGCCTTTGAAAACGGGTCATAAACATTAGAGGAAAGGATGCAAGGACAAAGGGAGTAACGGAGCTTTAAGCTGCAGAGGTTATTTAAGTGTGTGTACGTACGTGTGTGTGTCTGCATACGTGTAAACAAGCAGGATACAGAGCTCCGACTCTGTCAAACAACTCCATTGAGTTAAAGGCTTGTTTATAACAATATCGCTCGACACTCCTCTGCCTCCCTCTGTGAAGGGAGCTGTATTAAAGTACACTGTACAGTAGCATCTGAAACACACAGAGAGGCTTGGGGCAAGGAAAGCTGCACCAGGTAACGTGTTGTAGCAGGAGCTCCACCTGTTCCCAAGTGCTGGAAGATAGTTGTGTTGGGTTCTCCATTAAATTGCCCTCATCTTCCTGGCCTGGGATAACAAGCTGAGTTTAAGGAGCTGGTAAACTGTGGCAGCAGTGGGTTTCTGGAAGCTATTTGCCTCTTGCTGTCCCTAACAGGGCTTTATCCCTCTTGTGGCACAGATGAGGGAAATAGGAATCTGATGAGACAATAAGTCAGTTTGCTCATATTGCAGGAAGACAGAAGGTGAGATGGGAAAATACTGTGTGAGAAGCCCTATGTGTCTTTAGTGATGCAGCAGAACTGCATCATGTCCAAATCCTGGCAGAAATTGCGTTCAGCAGTTTGAGTTAATTGAAAATGGGCAGTATTTCTGAGCTCTATGTTTAGTGCTATGTCTTTACTAGAAACGTTGCTGTTCCTGTCCAAAATATGTAAGCATGTGCTGTGGCTGGAAGTGGACAGTGTGCTCAGGCATCCCCTCCACAGAGGTAGACATCAGCCCTGTGAAAGGCCTCCCAAATGCTCCAGCAATGTAGCCTTAAGTGTGTGGGGTCTTAAAGGGAAAAATATTGACATACTAGTGAGCACATGGAGCCCACCAAACACAGGTACAAATGAACTCCAAAATCCCCCATATACTTGCTGGCAAACAAATTCTGATATTGTAATAATCTGGTCAAACTAGCATATGCTGTAAGCTGTGTGCTAAACCCAAGCGTCAGTCACTCACCTGGCCTTTGCAGCTGAGGAGAGATGTTAAAAATCCCAGAGGTTGCTGGGCATTCCCACCATCACAGCCCAGTCCATCGCAGAGCAGCCCTTACCTCTGCCTGTGGCCTCTTCCTCTCCAACGTGGTCATGTCACAAAGTGCAGAAGGTTTTCTCCAGGTCTTGAGACACCAAATTTTTGAGACATCTGGTCCTTGGAAAAAGAGAGAGGAAAGCCTAGATTTCATTTTAGAAGAGGGGACACAGTGAAAAGCCAGAAGGCAAAGTTGTTTGTTCGGTGTTTTGATTCTCCCTCTCTCTGCACAGCCTTGAAAGCAGGAAGACGTTTTGGTGTCATAGGATGTGCCAGCACACCCCAGCTGAGAAAAAGCAAAAGAGAGTGTAGAGAGGGATGAGAGTCCACCCAAAATGGTAAGTCGTGCCCATGGCAGGCCAGCCAGGACAGCTGCAGCCCAGGCACTCCACCAGGTGACCAGAGGACCCCAAGGCTCCTTCTCATCTTCTGCCAGGTGACCAAACCGTCCTCAGACGCAGCAGGACTGAATGATGAAGCTGCCACACGTGGGATCAAGGATTAATGCATGCTCAGAGCACTGGAGGTGATATTTTCTCAGCAGGTTGTCTTAAGCACCACTTTTAAAGCTATCGTACCAGTGAGTGACACAGGGATGTTATGGAGCTGCAGAAGAGCTTCAGACTATTATTATTATTTTTATTGCTAAGCACAGTTGTCCTAGTTTTAAGAGGCAAGGCTGATGAAATTTATTGCTATATTAATAATCCTCATCATACCCTTTTTTGCAGATCTCTCTTGCATGTTACTTTAAAACCCATGAGATCATCTGCTGCTTGTTAATGGGAAGCAGTTTATTGTGAAGGAGGACGAACTGACAGATTTTTGTTCCCATGAACTGTATAAGAAATCTAACAAACCAGATGCAGATGGATCAATACTGGCTGTTCTTTATTTATCACCCCCTGTCTTCCTCACTTTATTTTTATGGCTATTAAAGATGCTATCATTGATATACCATTTTTGACTGTCTCTCTGTAATGTATTCACTGGACAATGTTGCCATTGATATCCGCGTAAAAGGCTGGGATACTGAATAAGCTGGGGGAGTGGTGTGGTCTGTCTTTCTTTTTTACAGCACCAGGTTTAGCTGGGGCTGGATCTCCAGTGGGATACATTTCTGTAATGCTCCAGGAGGTGAGGGGTAAATTAGATTTTTGTCCTGAGCGTGTGTGTACTTCCAAGTGTACTTGGGTTTCCCTTTAGGTGGGACCTTGGCCGGGTAATTCGTTGGCTCTGTGCTTCATTCAAGTCATTTCCTTTGGGCTTGTGATCACCAAGAAACATAGCAGTGCCTGACTGCAGCTCTCTGATGATGCAATTTCAATTAAAACTCACTGCTCACTACAGATGAGGATGATCCATGCTCTAAACCATGACATTTTGTCAAAAGCAAGCAGCTGACAGAAGCTGAGTGAATCTGAAGCTTGACGTGGCTTGCACAGACTGACAGCCTCGTGTCAGCTCATTTGACTGTCAGCAAGAGAATTAAACCTGATTATGGAAACATGGGTATGGGAGATGAACACGTCTGTGCCACAGTCCTGATTGCATCGGCCAGACAACGTCGCACCCATGAGCCAGGGGTCTGTGGTCCACCCTGGTCCTGGCAGCAGTCTGGGGGTGGCAAACCAGCTCCAGAAACGATGTGTGCCCCCTGCCCAGGGAGTTCACAGCCTGTCATGCACTTTCTGTTTTGGATGAATTTAAGGGCCTGGGATCTAAGAGGCAAAAATTAGACACTTGAAAGCTTGATTTTCCAGGGAAGTCAGCTCGGGTTCTGTTAAAAGCAAAACAAAACAAAACAACCCCCCTAAGTTTTTTTGCAAGCAGCTCCTGCTGTGCTCTTGTAGCAAGATTTGCCTCAGGTGCCAAAATGAGTGTGTGATGCTTCTGTAAATCTGGCAGCAGGTAGATAGAACTGCACAGTGTGGAAATCTGGTCTATATACTGAGTCAGCATCAGTGAGGCAGTCCCTGCAGATTTAACAGGAAGAAAATGAATCCCTTTGCCCTGTTAAATCTGGGACAAAACAGGTAGAAATCCAGGCCTAAAGCCTTACAATAGAAGGAAATATTATTCTAGCAACTCAATTTGCTAAAAACAAATGGTGTGACATTTAAATTGGGGCATCTATCTCTAGCAACCCAGCACCTCTAATCAGTTGCTCACCTATCCATTTGAATGCAGTGAAGGCAGAGGTACTGCATTTACAATTATAGCAGATGACTTCATCCCTCTGAAATGACTTTAAAAGATTAGAATTCATAGATTATTTATTAACTCTTAGTGAATGTATTTCCAGAAAGGAAACAACATATTGCATCAATGTCTGGTTCCCCAGTTTAACTATTTTAATTAACAGGGAAATGTATACTGCTGTAAAGAACTCTGCCTGCATACCGTTGTGCGAGGCTTTTTCCTACTTGTTTCCTTTTTAGTACAAAGCCTTTGTTCCTTTAAACTCATGTTAATAACAGTGATCATAACACTGGAATCGTCCTGTGATAACTCATAAATAATATTTCTAGATAAAACAAAGCTATTTAGCACAGCCATCCAAAACAGGCAGCACAACAGTTTCATTGACCCATTTTGATAGCGAGCATCTGATTCACAGGTTGGCAGAGAGATCTGTGACAGAGTGGTACTGGCAGCTTAACTCAAACGCTTTTGATGCCCAGATAACAAAAAACACCTAGTGTAAGTCCATGACAGCAACCACAGCATATCCAGAATTGTTTTCCTTCCTTGTTGGATTTTTGTCCCCCTGTTAAGAACTTCACTCGGTTCTTGGATAGCAAAACAGCATGCCTTAGAAGTGGTAAAAAAAAAAAAAAAAAAAAAAAAAAAAAAAAAAAAAAGCATAAACACTGTGTTCCAGACCTCCAAATCAGGTGTCACTCCAGATGAAATATAAAGTTGTCCACGACTAAGAGGAAGGAGTCTTCCAGGGAAGGCTGAGAGAAGTCAGGCAGCCGTGGAGCCAGACCAGCTGCAGTGGGGGGAACGCCACGTCCCTCCAGCAAAGCTGCGGGACGAGGACATGGTAAACACAGCCCTGGACAGCCCTTCTATGGGAAAAGGGGGAGATCAAAGGCAGGAGGCAGCCCTGACCCTAGCGGAGGTTTTACTTGGATGATGTGTCATCCCAACAGAAAAAGCCAACAACATAATTCAGGTGCTGTCAGGACAGAAGGTCACTTTTAAAGAAATGGTGATATGATTATCGAGGTATTGTTTGGGAGTCCTTGTACGGAGCAGTTCACAGGGGCAGTGAACCATTTCAAAGCAACATAAGTATATATTTCCTTTTTCTCTATTGCTGATGATTTTCATCTAGGTTATATGCATTGAGCTTAATCACTGAGCATTTGAAAACACAATTTATAATGCTTATAGGCTAAAATAGATAAAATGTTACCACAAGCTAAGATGCTATGGATTAACTTCACCTAAATGTTCTAATTCATTAAACAACTACACTTGTGTGGTGCCATCCCTGAATGATGGGACATTTCTGCAAAAGGCAGTAAGGATTTGTAGGATAAGACCTATAAGATAAGGATCATCGGAAACGCACAAGAACTAAGTACTAGAAAGAAGACCCATCAAGTTCATGTCAGGCTGCTACAAGAGGACTTGTTCTCTTAAATAACTGAGTTGTGTTTTTAAACTCTTGCACTTCACTTTTTCAGTTGTGAATTTGAGAGTGGATTAGTTACCAGGAATTGCCAAGCTGGTCTGAATATGAATTGCCTTCAAGCCTTGTCAAATGAAGCATGAGACTCTTCTTTCAGATCGCCAAAATACATCTGCTGTTTTATATCACAAAGACATTTGCTTTTGGAAAGGTGCTTTCACAATTCTCTGAAAAATTTGAAATGGAAGATCTTGTTCCAGAAATTCTCCACATCCTAAATTTCCTCCTTTATTATTTTTTTTTCTTTGTGTTTTTTTGGACAGTTGATTTTTGTATGTTTGGACAATGTGCTTTGAACAGGCAGCCAAACTTGTGCATACTGATGGCTTATTCTTTCCTGGTTGCTACAAACAAAGGTAATTTCAGTGCTGAAAAAAAGTTTAATTATATTTGAAGACAAGCAATGGCAGGACCTGGTCATGCTTAGTATAAACCCTCATCATTCCTCTGGGCCAAATCCTGAAATTATTTTATGCAGTCTTTTATTTGCCCAAACGTCCTTTATCTTCTAGCTTGAATTCAATACATGCAATGGCTGCTGAAGTGGAGTTATGGGATGTGCTAGGGAAGGCGCTCTGAGCTAGCAGCAATTTGCATGTTTAATTAACTCTATAATCAGGACACTTGGGCAAGACTTTTTCAAAGGAAATATTCTACACCTGTAAATGTGCCATTGTCAGAAACAGAAACCATTTGTGCAAACCTCTCATGGCCCAGATGGAGACACTGGACTTTTGGCTGCTCCATTTCACCTTCCATGGATCTGGGATGCCATCCCCACACCTCCCCTTCCTACTGGCAGGGAAAGGCTCAGGCTATTCTGTCTCATGCATGCAAATTCCTCCCACACACCCCCACCCCCAAATCTGCAGCTAAAGCTTAGGTGAAAGCATTCTTATTACTGCTAAGACAACAGCAGATTAAATAGGATGAACCGATCAGCTATACTTCTTGTAAAGTTATCCCCAGAGATAAATGTACAATGTTGTTATGGAGGCTGCAGTGGTGTCTGCAGCGTAACTAAGGCTGACAGACTGCTTGCATGTGGGTGGCTGTCTTCTTTCCAGCTGTGACCAGCTGAATTATATCACCTGTCCCACTTGATATATTAGGATATGCCCAAACTCAAGATGCATGTTGCTGCAATAGGGAAATTAATGTCCACCACTGGAGGCAATTAATAATGATTAGGAGCAAAACAGCAGGGTTAAATCTGTGCATTTAACAAAGTGTTCATACAGCTTTTTTATACTATACTTCAGCCACCAGGTTCTCTCAAATTTCGACTCCTTTTCTGGGGGGCCAGGACAACCTTACCTTAATTAATGGGGAAACTTAGTTGAAATGTCAAAGTTGTTTCAGTGAGACATGTTTATTCATTACTTAATTCCAGCTTTGGCATGGGGAAGAAAGCATCAAACATGCCTGTGTAAAAGGACTCCATAGAGAAAAATGTTAACATCCACTTCTGTGTCCATTTTCATTCAGAACAGCACAGCTGAATGTATTCATGTTTGAAGTCGCCAGCATCTCTTTGATTTCTGGACTCCTCAGCCAGTGTACTAAAAAGTGGCAGCAAATTGGCACATAGAAAATTTGCAATGCTCAGTTTAGTGCAACTCCTTAATTACCACAGAAAATGGTGAGTGATGGCTTATTAATTTCTCTTTTGTGGCCAAAATGTGATTTCAGATAGGAACACCGGGCATCTAAAAGGAATAGGATTCTCTTTCATATTTTAAACATCTAGGATATAGGAAGCCTTGTAGTGTAAAATGCTTTATGAATCTGTAAGAAAACATACACTATTGCCAAATACAGGCATTCCAAACTTGATGATAAATGTTTCTACAGTCACGGGAATTTCCTTTTATGTAGTTTTAATAATAATAAGAATCCTTCATATTTCTGAGATTTAAAGCATACACACAGTCTCAATTCTTTTATCAGCCTTTTGATTTTTGATTGTTTTGTTTTGTTCTGTTTTGTTTTTTCCACATTTTCACACCTTCCTTTGAAATTACAGAGACTTAAATCTTGGGGTGAAGCTGCAAGCTACATATGTCACATAGCCAAGAAAAATGTGATAATCGTGAGAAACTAAGGAAAGTCTGCAATGGGATGTATGACAGCAAGGAAAGGACTTCATTAACCTCAAGTTCCACCTCATTTCAACTTTATCTCTTTCAGTATTAGGTAAAAGTTTCCATCAAAACTGAGGGATGAGTATCATAGATTTCACCAAAACCAAGGGCAACCCTTAGCAGTCGGCATGGGGATGAGGATGAAGACTGGGAACTGTAAATGCAAAAAAAAATATTCATAGCCATTCACATGTTCCTTGCTAGCTGTATCTTTCCAAGTTTCTTATGTGATAAAAAGGGTTCTGGGACTACTTCTCCACTCTCATGCTTGCAGTCTATGGTTAGGTTGTTTGTAGAATCTCTAAAAGTTTGGCTTTGGCCATTTGCTATATAACTGCAAGCTCAGTATAAATATAATGTGAAAGCACTCCTCAAAATGAAAACACTGTGAGTTCAATACTGATGTGAATCGCAATTCCTGCCAGTTCACAAGCCCACTGTCCAATTTACATTCTGCACGTGAATGAGAATACAGAAATGTATTAGCTAATTGTCAATAAGGAGTCACATGCTTGCTCATCTGGATGTACAAGGAAAGCCTTTTAGACTTAAAAGTGTGATGCACTCAACTGCAACCTAATGGCTGGTAGGAAAGCCACTTTGTAACTGTGAAACATCATTTTTGGGGGGGAGGTTTTGTTTGCTTAACTTGTCTACACAGTGTATCATCACATGATTATTTAACTTACATTCTGTCCTGAATACAGAATTGCCAAACTTCCTTCCCTTTCACTGGAAAAAAATGTACTTTTTTTGGTGTTTAGGACAATGAGCAAAATAATCCATACAAAATGCACTTCACTGAAAATAGCCAAGAACTAGAGAACCTATCAGATTATTTAAAGCACATCAATTTCTGGAATAGTAATACAAAAATGGAAGTTAAAATTGAAAAGAAAAACAGAAGGTTATTCAGAATGAGCATAGAGACAAAGACCTGCTCAGCAGACACAGCACTGCTCTCATTGACTTGGCCCAAGCAGAGAATTTGTTATTAGATGTAGACTCCTGCATTAAACACGGTGGTAATGATTGCTCTGATCTGGTTCCTTCTTGTGAAGAGGGAACGGTACTGACAAGACAAATGGGGCTATAAATATTATTTCAAGACCAAGAAGAGAGACCTTGAAGGGATGAGATACTGACCCAAAACAATGCCTCTCCTGTGAAAGGGAGGGTTGCCAAAAGGTTTTCCACATTCAAATTGCTGTTGACTGCACAGAGAAGCAGAAATCTTTAATCACTACTGCAATATTAATTGAAGAAGAAATCTACTCTGTACAGAGTGCTAGTTGTGAAAAAAGTAACTGATGACATATATGAGGAAAAAAAAAGTAAAAAAAAATACACCTTTCATCTGTATGAAAGCAAATCTTGAATTGTTTCAAGTATTCTATATAATTATCTGTAAATTTAGACTCCCTTGCTGGCAAATGGGGCAAAACAACCAAGAAAAGTTGTATAAATCTTAATATGTTTCCATGATGATGATGATGATGATGATGATGATGATGATGATGATGATAATGAATTTAACTCTACTTGGGTTCAGTTGATCTCAAGCAAGACCTGGCTTTTGTGATAGCTATCATCATGAATCCATGGGTTACCTGCTTCGTCCCAAGAATTGTATTCTTCATTTGCTGAATTAGTCTTCAGTGTATAAATAAGAGCATAGGCAGGTAGCTTTTCTGCCTGAAAGTTAATTTTCTCTGCTATTATTATTTTGACTTAGTTGACTTATAGCAATTATTTATGCAGACCTATCTCTCTAACCTAATCAGTTTCAATACATTTTTTCTCCAGCACTCAACCTTGGATGGCAGGAGAAAGGCTATTATTTCAGATGCTGCTTTATTGGATGACAATAACAAGCGTATAGGGAATAATTGCTCAATCTTGTTGTTGGTTTTAAGATACAAGCTATAGCAGGCTGGGCTGGACCAAGGAAAGGAGCAGTCATCTGTTCACAGGTCCTCAGGCTACGTTTGCTTGATCTTTCCTCATCACAATGCCTTGATCTAAGAACAAGGAGCGCTGTGTGCAGCTGCGGAATGAAAACACTGTGATATTTGTCTCTTTGTCCATTGATCTGAGCACTGCTCAACATGGATCTGAAGGGTTTTGGTGTGTCTCACAAAACCCAGTGAAATTGGCTCTCATTTATCCTGTTATTTGGCTATTTATTTTTGCTCTTTTCTTCCCTCTGGGCCTGAATTTGACACATGGGTTCATGGCAGCATTTTCAAACACTTTGCCTCTGTAGCTGGGTTAATGAAGAGATGGTCAGCTAGAAGCCTGCTTTTGGAAGTTTTTTTTGTTTTGTTTTGTTTTGTTTTGTTCTAAAAAAATAAAATTGCACCAGATGTTTATTTAGAAAGCTGGTAGAGCAGACTGAGAGTAATTCCAGTTTCTGCATGTGGAAATTGGAATTCATTATTACTGGGCACTAAATGTTCGGATGCTTTTCTGAGGTCCTTAAATCTATTTCATTTCCATGTTGACAGAGATATTAGACAGCTGTTGGAAAATCTGTCCCTTCTTTCAGTGCTGCAACAAGAAAGCTTTCCGTTTAACTACCAGGGGTCAATAAAGCTCTTTAATGTACTTATCAGTGCTGAGAGAAGTGAAGGAAAGTATAAGAAAGATTTCTTTCACTTCAATTTTGTGTGAAACACCGTCTCTTCCAGCTTACCAGTGTTGCTGCTGTTTGTGATGGACTGGAAGGCTGAAGCATGTTTTCTGAATGGTGTCGCCGAGGCTGGGATGTGGCAGGCCCGTTGGTGGCAGATGCAGCATGGCCAGCAAGGGGCTTTGCTTTCTGCAGGCTTTTGGGGATGGAGCAGGAGAGTGTCCCTGCTCTGCACATAGGGAGGTCAAAACTGAGTCCCTTCCTGCACCTATCATCAGGCAGGAGCTGGAGCAAGCCATTCTTCAGGGATACAAGGGTCTTGTGCATTTTTGTGGAGCCACCCGCGCCGTTGCAGAGATCGCCTCATGGCCACATCCTCTCTTGCTTGCAATCAAGCAACATCACTATGGAAACTGCTCGCGTGGAAGAACAATATTAGGGGAGGCAGTCTGTATTGTTAGCTCTCCTTAATGCAATATGTGTCTTAGTCTTTTCTCCCAAATGTGGAATTAGTGTCTGGTTCTGCTCTTTATGGGAGCTCTCCAATCCCAGCTGTTTTGCTTCCCCACTTCCCCAGGCCATTTTTTCTTGACACCTGATTTTTCTTTCTCTTCACTCTGCTCTCTGAGAGCTTGCATCCTTGCTCCCTGGGTGCTTGACACTGCCAGCCCTGCTCTCCCCAGCTGCTCTCTTCCCTCTCCTGCTTGCAAGCTGTGTTGACATGATCCAGACCTGCTGGTGGCACTGCCCTGAACAAAAGCAGCTCTCCTTTCTTTTCTTGTATTCTTATGGCACAAGAGGAGGCCCAAATGGGGCATCTCAGCGATGTCCTCCACCTTTTTCCCAGCTGCTTCATCAGAATTTCAAAGTCTTCTTAAGAATATGGTGTCCAGGTGACTACCAGCATGTCTGCAGAGGAGAAGGGCCCAGCTTCATCCAAGCTTCAAGGCTGCCTTTCATCAGGTTGTTGAACACAGAGCTTTTTACACTGCTCACTCGTTTGCCTTATTCAGATGGGAGAAATCTCTGAGGGTATATTGTGAGTCCCTTTTAAGAACTTAAGCATTGTATCCTCTACTTTCCTGGAAAGCAGGCAATAATTCAGAAATACAAAGCTGAAAAAAATCTGTGCCTGGTGGTGACTCCTGGGGAGCAAGGGGCTCACTGTGTCCTCTTTCAGCCTTGGCCCTCAGTAATGCTGTGCCATAGCTCCAAGCCACCATAACACCCTGTGTCCCTGGTTAGCTATTTGCAAAGTATTTATAGCACCCGTTTCTTAAAAGAGCACTAAGAGGGTGCACGTTACAGTCTGCATGGATATAGATCAGCATAAAGTCTTGTAATAACTAATAGACGTTCAGTGCTGTCCCTTTCTTACAGATGATTTCCTGAGTTCACACTTTGAACTGAGCTTATAGGGATATTTTATAATAATTTTCCAATTGGGTGCTTGGCCCTCAAAATCAGTAATCTAAACCAGCATGCAAGAAGTAAAAAATATTTTCTGCTGGTGTAGGCAATGAGCACACTAGCACTCTGACATGAGTGTAAATGCTTCGCAATTGTTTGCTATTAAATTTTTAAATCAATTTTCCAATAGCTTTAAATACTTGGGTAAAACCTTATAATAGGTTAGCTAATCATGTTAGCTTTTATAACATTATGTGAATTCAGACACATAGTTATGCTAAAATCTTTCCCACTTGCATACCTCTCACGCAGATTACAAAGGGAATGTGTTATAAACAATAAAACCTGGAGGGGGGGGGGGGGGTGCCAATTGTCATCCCTTTTCTGCTGTTCCATTAAACACAGAGACAGTGATGCTGGCCATTGCTTTGTAAAGGAAAAACAACAAGTTTACGGTTCCTCATTTCCCATGGCAAACAGATTGCTTATTTTAATTTTGAAAATAAAACGATGGAGGCGATGTGGGTCTGTAAATAAGAGTGCGCATCTCAATTTTCTGCAAATGCTTAAGTGGTTTACATCTGTTTCCTCCCAGTTGTATTTCTCAAACATGAATTTCCATTTTAAAAAGAGTCATAAAATCACTACTGTTTCTCTGTGGATCTATTAGCAATAAAATAGCCTACAGAGGTTTGCACAGCCATGGAAAATGTACAGTGATAATAGGCTGTCCTGCTGTTACATGGCTTATGCAAACTTTACATTTATCACTGCAGAACCATCTATCCGCAGGGTTGGAGTACAGCAAACAACTGAATAAAAAAGACCAAAAGAAGGAAGATGATACAGAAAGCTCTATATACACATCATTAATCAGACATGATGAATTCTCAAACTTGAATATATGTTTTCTCAGAGCCAACGGAGGGAAAAAAAATGCTGATCACAATCTGAAATGCAAAACTTTACATAAAATTAATCTCCTGCAAACTGGTTTTGCACTAAAGGACAGAGAGAAAAAGAGAAAGACAGAGGGATAAAACTTGTTTTCATATCTGTCTGTTAGCTTTCATTTATGGCACTCCTGCTGTCCAAAGACTAGCATCTTATGGAAAAAACCTTGCAGGCTGTCTGATGCTAGAGCCACTCAGCAATCAGTGTGAGTCAAAATGACAGGTGTGTGAAAAGGCAGGAGCTGCAGACAGACCCAGGAGGATCCCTAAACTGAGGTGACCCACTCACCAGGATCAGAGACACCGCTTTCAATCGCCAGCTACAAAGCCAGTGCTGCCCCAGTTTGGCATCTCCAACTGGATGGGGACTTACAGGCAGCTCAACATGAGCAGAGAAGGGACCCTGGTCACCTAAGCCACAGAGAAAGCTGGAAGTGGCAACCACAGCATTGCAACTGGAGGTCTTCAGAGGTTTGCCACTGCAGGCAGAAACTTCAGACTCATCTTTCTTATGGCCCAGGGTGTAATGGAGTGTTTCCTGAGGCAGCTGGGAGCAGACGGTGCATCTTGACCATGTTGTCTATTCTTCAGTTATGTGTCCCACCTCTGATCAGCAAGGAAGATGGCTGGAGAACCATTAAACCTGCTCTTGACCACAGATGGACTGCTTGGTGTCTTCCAGAGGAACAGTGGGCTGCAGCTCCTACAGAAGAAGCACACACAGATTAATCTCTCACGACAAAGCTTCACGAGGTTGTTCCTCTTTTATGTTGGTCTAATATAAATGTTTAGGAGGATGAAAGCAAATGGCTGCTCTTTATGGATGGCAGAAGGCGACAGTAATATCTTTGGATGCTTCTTAGATGAAGGGTAAGTGGAATCAGAGAAAGAAGAGGGGACAAACAAAAGGGGAAGAAAACTGGCTTCTGGAGGGGTCAGGAAGACTGGTGAGAAATAAAGCATCTCCCCGTTTGGATGGATACATGCCATTGTTTGAGCCTCTGGCTTCACAGGAAGCCAGAAAAGCGCCCAGTCCAGGCACACAACATCAATCTGGTTGCCTAAACAGAGTAAAAAGCTGAATGAAGAGAAATGATTCCTGAAGAGAAACACAAGACGTATACGAGCTCGGAAAGAGCAATGAACTTATTGTAGGTTACACTGGAATCAAAAGCAAATTATCAAAAGTTTCTTTCTGAAGGTCTGTGTGCTAGCTTCTCCTTTGTATAAATGCATCATCTTTTTCTCTTATCAGGGATCTTGTGGGAGGCATGACAGCAGCCTTTATTGCTTGTAAATGGCACGCTGAAAAACACGTGACAGACTCATTGTTGGTGGAGTCATGGTTTCATAAAAGTACCTCTGTGGATGAGCCTGGTCCTGTGAGATCATCTCAGTGCACTGGTGTTTTTAGCTGAATGTATGCATAGTTAGAAATTTCAGCTTTGTGACCATGAGCTTGGCTGCTGACTGTTTTAAGGGAGTCTCAGTGATGATAAAACACTTCCACGTTTCAAGATCATTGAAACAGCTTCAAACAACTCCATCACACTGGAAGAGGCTGCTTTTCTCCCTCCTCTCAGATGATACATTGGTCATTTTATGTGATTTTAGGTGTCCTGAAGGTTTGTTTCTTCAGCTAGCTCTTCTGTTGGGGTCAGCGCATGATGTGACAGCTTCATTATTTCTGAGCATAACTATTACCCAATGACTTTTAAAAGCAGTTATTGAGTGCTGCAGCATATATTCAACATGAAAGCTGACTGTCACCCCTTTAACTCCATATAAATCCTCTTCTTTCCTTCAACGCTGAGAATCACATACTGGAGCTTACATTTTCCAGTGCTCTAGCACTGACCCTAACCTTCAAGAAATTGGAGGGACTCATAGTCTGTGTGTTTATGCTATCCAGGGCATTTCTCATATTCACAGGAAATATAAGGAACCACTTTGTTGTGGGAGCATTCCTTGATGCAAGTGAAACCATGGTTGTGTTCTGGCCCTGTAGCTGTGGAGGCTGGATTGCAGGTCCTGGTTTTCACTTTATGAGCAAGTGTGTGAAATCTGCAGAAAATTATTACTTTGCCTATCATTTTGCAGCACAGGGATACCTCTCTTGTTTCAGCAAGCTAAAAGTAAAGAACAAGCTTTAAGGACTTTGTCACCTGAAATTATCACAACAGAATTTTGAGATTGGCTACCAAAAAAAAAAAAAAAAAAAGAAAAGTATTCTGGAAGACCTAAATAGAAAAACAACACCCTTAGTCATGGAAATAAAAATGGTACTATGACATTAATCAACAAAATATTAACACATGTACAGGACAGTGGCCTTATTCAGCACCTGGTGATTTTCCATCTTGAAAAAGAGGTAATTAGCAAGTGTTTAGCAAACATCTAGGGAACACAGGACTGCTTTTCAGGTGAAAAACAGGAGTTATGATCCTGGGCAACAGGATTTTTACCATCAAATGACTTAAATTTTCATACTTGACTGCTATTAGGATTCCCATAATGTTGCATTAGGGATGTTAACACAATTGTTACAGTTAAATTCCAACTCAGCTTTCAGCAATAACTGCTTTCCTGTCTAAAATCCCCCTGAGGTTACAGGTGGGTGAAAGTCTGAACTCATCCCATTTCAAGCATTTCTGTGCACAGAGAGTAATCCAGTGGACAGTGCAGTCCAGGGATGGCCACACCTCAAGGGTGTTTCACAACTTGCCAGAGTTTGCCAGTCTCTTGGTGGAACACACAGACATCCTGGGAGACCAAGTGGAGGTCACCAATGAGTCTATAGGTGCCAGGGCATGGCTGTAAAGTGCAGGCATTCCTGGGTCCAGGTGGCTGAGTAAAAAGACCTGCCTGAGCTGCAAAGGTGGGTGGAGACTCTCCACAGAGAGAGTCCTCCTCTACCAAGGGGTGAGGAGCTGGTGGGTGCCCACCGCAGGCAGAGCACCACCACTCAGAGACATGAGGTATACACCAAGTGACCAGAAACAGAAATCACAACATTTCTGCAGAACGTTGGTTTTTGGTTTTGTTGTTGTTCATTGTTTCTAATTGTTCCAGCTTCACACGCATAGAGGAAAGGCTGAAAGTGTGACTCATTGCACAAATCTTCTGTGTTTTAAGGCTATCTCATATCGAACTTTCAGGATGCATGCAGAAAAGAGAAGAAAATCCTGGCTAAAACATCATTTTAAGCAGTGAAAATATCTTCCTGCTACTCAACCTAGTTAAAAAAGCAAAACCCAATGAGCTCCCGCAGTTCCTACTGACAGCAGCTCCATAACATCGTCACTGATATGAACCTTAGGACAACGCTCTCTCTGCTGATGGCACTCCATAAATAATATTTCTACTCATTACTAAAACCTGAAAAAACTCAGAGAAGAGAAATGTCATGTGCTTGAATATAACAATATTACCCATCTGAAAGCTAATGCTCCTATTTTTTTCCTCATACTGCACACAATATTGAAAAGACTACTATAAGCTATAAGTGAGGTTACCTGTATTTTTTTTTCTCCAGGAATCTTCCCACTTTCTAGAGTTACTGAATGCCATAGAGGAAAGGAACAAGTTTAAAAAACAATTAGTAGGACATGTGGTGCTCATTCTTGGCTGAAGCTGCACATTCTCATCTGCCTGAAAATACTCAGCAGTCGTTCATGAAAAATGTTTTTGAACTAATGAGCTATATTTGCATTCCCCTTAGAACGGATTCAGAATTTTTCATCTACACTGCACCATGAAAAATGGATGTGTTTTTCACAGAGGTAATTTGAACATAAACCACCGCATCAATGGGAAGACAACCTTTGCAGAAACTTTTTAACTTAGCACATTCCATTTGTTTTCACTGGGGAAGGTCAAACTTGTGTGAGAGATGTAAATTTCATGCACAAACCTAGATGCTGATGAGATTTGTTTTTGTAGATAATCTGCAGCAGAGAAATTTTTCATAATGTCACTGCAAAATAAATTAAAATGTTCATCTTCATATGGCTGGTTCCATTGCATTAAAATAAATGTTGCAAGCTCATTTAATTAGTATAGTTAGGAATGTCTCTTCCCTGCTTCACTGACTCTCCAAATCACAAGTTAATTTGTCAAAATCAGACCATTGTTTTTCCTTCATTCTTCATTACTGAAAAGACAGCCCCATTTAAATAAATGTTTATGCTACAGAGAGCAGAGCGGTGAACAACCCCAAATATTTTTCTAAGGCGATGTTAGAAAAGTTTCGAGTGCAAAGAGCTAGAGAGCTTTTGTGTGTGTGCATGCGTGTGTGTGTGCGTGTGTGTTGTTATTGGATATTTGACTAGCTGGAAAGGTACAAAATTGAGCAGTCTGCTGTAACTGATGATGTAGTGCACACCATCTCTCATGCCAGCGGCTACATGCACTTGGAAGCAGTTTTCTTCTATGTTTTCAAAGACAAATGATGACAAAAGATACAATCTCTATAAATTACCCTAATCAAATCATTCTCTTCAAGAACTCTTGGTTAATCAATTAGTCAGTGTTCGCGGTTCTTATGAATATCACTTCATAGTCTACCATAACATTGCTTTCTTCCAACAGCAAATATTTAGAATATTTTATTTAGGAAAAAAAAAAAAAAAAAAAAAAAGGAAACAACAGCACATATAGCAAATAGACAGAGAATTTCTGCAACCATATGGAGCCCATTAATATAAAGAAAACCCTTTAGATTTACAGATATCACTGAGATGGCAGTCACTTGAATTTTGCTTATTTCATTGACTTAGTTATTAGATATACTAGGGTCTTTTCAGAGGGCACAATCAGAAATATATGGAAAAGGACACTAGATCATCATCTGAGCCCTGTACTAATGCATTTTTACAATGTATGAGGCAGATGCTGCAGCTCTGTCATATGCTACAGGACTATTCCCCAGCCTTCTCCAAGAGCCTTTTTAACAGCTAAAGCTCTATTTTCCCTCTAAGAGGGTTCAAAACAAATCAGTTTGAAGATTCTTGTGATTTTTCTTATCAAAAGGACAATTTGGGCTCTTTTTTTTTCCTTTTTTTTCTTTTTTTCCTGCTTACCTGTCTTCCCCTTATTTCTTTTTGTGAGTAGTCTGAAAAGGGGCAAATTGGGGCACAAAAGAGCACGCAAGGATCCTTGGCATGGCAGTATTTTAAAATGATATTCAAAATATGTATCTAATGTGAATCCTATGATACCACAAGGGAGAATTGACCCTATTTTTTTTTTATAGAGCTTCAAGATGAACCTTCTTTCATTAATAAATTATGTCATTATCAGGGAAGTTTAATTGCAGTGATACTTCATGAATTCACAGTAAAAGCATGCTATATATTAGTGGTTGGCATATTGACTATCAGACGTGGGAACTCTTGTGAACTCTGGAAAATCGACACATGCAGCAGTTAGGAAAATCCCTCCAAGATCACCAGAGGAGCGGAAGGGAGAGCGAGATGAGGCCAGGATGTGCCTTGGGAACCTCCTGCTCCACCATTAGCTGCACAAGGAGAAGATGCCGAGGAGTGCCCAGGTCGAGGAGACAAAAGCCTTGGTGCCCCCCAGGGACAAGCTGGGGACCAATTCCACTTCCATGGCTGTCTGGAGAAGAGGGTGAGGGAACAATGTGAAATTCCCTCCTCCTTCTTCTTGTTGGCCATCTGACAGATGGCTCCCGTGCCAGTT